ATTGCTAAAGCTAGGCCTAGTGACACTGTCTCCTTCTGCTGCCTGTGGATCATGTAGAACTCTCAGCTACTTCTCCAGTACCATGTCTGCCTGAATGCCACCATGACCCACCATAATGATAATGGACTAAACCTCTGAACTATAAGACAGCCCCAATTAAATATTATAAGAGTTGCCGTGATCATGATGTCTCTTCACATCAAAAGAAATCCAAACTAAGACAGGGTTCTCCTTAATAATAGAAATAGGAAACCAGGCCTAAATAGAGACACTATACGAGAACCTAGACCAAGTTCGTTTGTCAAAAACAGTGTTATGTTGGGTTAATGTATAAGATTACAGAGGCTGTGAGCAGGAATTGACAACTAATTTAATTTATGTTATAACCAGATAACACCACCATCATATCAAAACAGAAGCACAGAGAGTTGGGGTGCAGGTCAAGTGTCAAACACTTTCCTGGCATGCACAAGACCCTGGTTCCATCCCCAGTTCTGAAAAATAAGCATGTAAATAACAATAAAGAAAACACATGTAGGAACACCCCTTTCAAGCTTCCTTCTCCTTCAAACTTGCCTCCTCCTCTTCCTCTTCCTCCTCCTCCTTTTCCTCCTCCTCCTCCTTCTCCTCCTCCTCCTCTTCCTCCTACCTTTTTGTCATATCACATTCTCTGCTGTCACCCACTGCTAGAACCAATGCTCCCTTTCCCTGGCTCCTTCCTTCTCGTCCTTTTATCCTGAGGATAAAGATGTCTCTTTCCCAATATCTTCACAAATCTGCTCTCACAGAGCCCACTGAAGACTTTCCAAATGGCCAAATCCTAGAAGATCTTTTAAACTATTTTTAACTACTTTGAAAGCTTCTGTTTCCTTTAGGTTTTTACAGCGTGTTTCATTTTCCTGTTTCTTCGTCTACTATTCCTCTATTACGTTGGCTAGTCCTTCTGCACATACCTTAAATCAAGGAACGCCCCCACTGACATAGTATCTCCCATGTCCTGCACATTGCCACTGGAAGACACCTTCTATGCCTCAGACCCAGAATGTCCAGAGCTGGCATCTTTGCTCCTGTGCTTACCATCTCATCTGAATCTCCCTTCCTTTCCTGTTCTCTGTCCCTGTCACCAGCAGCTTTTCAACTGCCGACATAGGAAGCTTTGATCTCACACCTTTCTTTAGATTTTTTAGATGTCTCCACATCAGTCTCCTGTCTAAAAGGACAACCCCTCTGTACCCAGGAACTCCCTGTGGCCCTCCCCTTTTCCTATTATTCCCTTTCATACTTATCAGTGCTTATATATTAGCTGTCTAATGATTTATCATCTGTATTCTCCTTAAGAAAGCAAGTCCACTACTACCAACCCCTGTGTCTAGAGCAGTACCAGGCATTTACTTGATACTCTGTAGATATATGTGGAATGAATGATGGGAACTCGGTGTTTCTTCTTCTAACTTAGGTCTAGTCTTGGGAACATTTTGAAATTCTGTTGTTTTCTTCTTGGAATCTCTTTGTTTCCTTTCCTACTACACTGCCTGAAACCAGGACCTACCATCCATCCCAACACTGACCTGGCTATGTGGCTGGCCTCTGGCTGTGGCTGGCCTCTTAGATGACACAAATAAATCTCCCCTCGTACACATAGTCTGGGTGTCTCCTTCCTCCTTCCTCTACATGGGCCCTTGGGACTCTGAGAGCTGCTGTATGTATGCCTAAGAGCCTAGACACTCTCTCTCTCTCTCTCTCTCTCTCTCTCTCTCTCTCTCTCTCTCAGTAGACGTGCACAGTCAGCCATGGCTTTATCAAATTTAAGAAAAAATTGTTCATGGGCAGAATGTGGAAAAAGAACACAGAAGAAAGCTGCAGAAGTGGGGACCAGTGACCCACGCTGTTAAAGGAACATTGCAGAGATCCTAGGGTTGTGGACTGGAGTAGCTGGGACAGAATTCTAGAAGGAGTCATGACAATAGAGAACAGCTACCCCGCAATGGGAGGGGCTGGAGAGAGACAGAAAGGGAAAAAAGTCTATTCATACTGAAGTGAGATAGGATTTCCACACTTGTCTACATCTAAAGGCTAAAAATAGGGGCATTTGGGGCGAAAAGTAGTGAGGAATCTTTTAATTCTCCTGACATGGGCTGTAAGAATCAAAGCTTGCAGGGATGGGTGTACCTCTCACTCTGGGTGGTAAAATTAGAAAAAAATTATTTGAGTGCTCCAACCTTCACTCCTTTCCACCCTCGGCCCACTCTCTTCAGTTTTCCCTGCACTGAAAACTTCATTAGCAAAGAGTCTGATACATTCTTCCACATAAAGTTATAAGGTATAATGTGGTCTTTTTACACACTGGCAAAAGACAATGTGGAGCCAAAGACAGCCATCAGAAGCGTATGTAAATGCATGACAACCAGATTTTGGTCTCCTCGATAAATACTTGATACAAACAGCTCATGGAGAGGAAAGGTTCAGATCAGCTCATGGCTTCAGAGATCTCAGTCTGTGGCGCCTTCATCTTGCTGCCTTTGGGCCTGGTGCAAGAAAACAAATCATAGTAAGGAATCTGAGGAAGAAAAAACCCCTCATAGTCAGCAGAAAAAGTACCAGAGAGAGGAGAGGGACAAGGTTCTTGGTATCCCTTTCAAGTTACAACCTCAAGTGAACTAGCTTCCTTCTCATCCCCAACACTGAATGTTCTATCCTGCCCTAGTTGAGCCACACTGGGGCCAAGATTTGATTTCTTGGGCCTTGGAGGAATATTCCAGATCATACTACAGTAGATGTATATCCATCAAACACAGGACTAAGTACAGTGGCTGCCCAACAATGAACTGATGTTCATAAAAGTATATCATCAAACTTGGAGAGCAATCTAAACATCCAGTGTTGGGGGAAACGCTATGGAGACATCCATGGAAGAAATATTATAGAGCTATTTAGAGAGCTTTTCTCATGGCTGCAGGGAAATGCTTATATGACATTAGGAAAAAATCAGCAGGCTTCAGATTGCTCGTAGAATGTGCTAATTATAAAAATTGTACGCAGGGCTAGGGAGGTAGTTTAGACTGTAAATTGCTTGTCTTGAAAGCTGGAGTGCCTGAGTTTAAACCCCAGAAGCCAATTTTATTGTTGGTTTGTTTAAGCCAGGTGTGGCAGTGTACTTGTAAGCACAGATCTCGGGAGGTGGAGACTGTCAGAGCCATGGGGTGACTACCCAGCAAGCCTAGGCTACTAGATGAGAGCTCCAGGATGGTGAGGGATGCTTCTCAAAAAAGGAGGAAAAAAAGAAGGTGGACAGTGCCTAAGGATCAACACCCAAAGTTATCTTCTGACATCCACACCTACTAATACACATGCTGTACACACATGTACACTTGCACACACACACACACACACACACACACACACACACACACACACACACAATTATTTGCCTACAAAGAAGACTTAGAAAAATTGTGGCTATCTTTAGAATCTGTGGGGCATAGAGATATAGAGATATTCATTGAGCCTTTATACTTTTCTGTTTGTTTTTTTTTTGTTTTTGTTTTGTTTTTTTGTTTTTTTTTTTTTTTTGAGACAGGGTTTCTCTGTGTAGCTTTGCACCTTTCCTGGAACTCACTCTGCCTCGAATTCACCTGTCTCTGCCTCCCGAGTGCTGGGATTAAAGGCGTGTGTCACCACCGCCTGGTCTTTTCTGTATTTTTGAACTGTTTATGATCAGTATAAGGTAAACATTACGAAAGTGAACATGAAAAGTCCCTGGGGGGAAGAGAGTGCTTCCCATGGATCTCTGGAAATCCCAGCATGTGGTGTGGTCTACTGGATACATTATGCAGGAGGAGAAGAGAGCTGGGGGGTGACTGGTCAGCCAGCAGAAGGTGGTTTTTCTGACTGCTATAGCATCAAAGAGCCTGTCCTTTAAAGTAAATGGCAGGGCTTGGGCATATGGGTGAATTGGTGCTTTCCTGTTGGAGGGTTTCACTGTGCAAGGCTAACATAGTCAAGAAATCTCCAGAACACCCTCAACTGTATTTCTTGTGTAACTCAAGCCCTGTTCAGGTGGGAATATGTGCTGATTTCGCTCTGTTCCCCATCCTCCTCTTTTAACAAACAAGGCTGTGTGATTAATGGAAGTCTTTGTGTTGATATCTCAGTCATATTGGATTTTCATAGCTTTAAGAAGGGGGTTGTGCCCTGTTGAAGGAGAATGCTTAATGTTGCTCCCATGCCATAATACCTACAGAAAAGTCAGAGAGAAAGGGGGAGAGAGGGGGTGGGATTCCAATACTGTAAGCAGTTTCTGGTTATTTCTGGATATTACTTCTGGATGTCTCTGAGTTTTCTTCTGACTGGCTTCCCCACCCCCACTTTCTAGATCTGAGATGTGCTACTGTTTGTTGCTCCCTCTGTGGGAAGGTAAACTTCATAGCCAAGAGAAAGGAAACAAACAACAAGACAAACCTCCGCAACCCTCATCTCTCTCCAAATTTCCAATTTCCTTCATTTCAAAATAAAAAAAAACAAACCAAAACAAAAAACCGAAGCTGTATGCTTCCTATTGCAAGGACTTTAGTAACTAAACGGAGGGATTCCACAACTTTGAAAATCTAACTCAATCAAAAATTCTTTTCTTTTCCTTTTTTCCTTTTGGTAATTATTAAAATGTTCAAATGTCTGATTAAGGAACGCTGGAGGAAAGAAGGATCTGCGAAGGCATGAATGAAGGAAAAGGGTGAAAAGAAGAAATCCCAGCTCAGCCTGGAAGGCTACGCGTGAAAGAGCCCGGCTCCCTTGGAGACTCCAGGCCGTGTTTTGCAGGCGGCCGCATCTGCCTCCCCTGTCTCTTACCTCCTGGATGTGAGGAACTATTTGTGGTCGGCGTGGTGGAAGGACACAGTGAGGTTCTCACCTCCGCCCCCCGCCCGTCGCTCGCATCCCCAGTTCCATCAAAGCCAACCCGGACCAGCGCAGGGATCTCCGAGTTGCGAGTGTGCTGAGGCTGGGACTGTCACTCATTCTCCGCTCAGCGCGTGAACGCAGCTCGGCAGTGGCTGGCAGGAAACAATTCTGCAAAAATAATCATACCCAGCCTGGCAATTGTCTGCTTCTCGGTCCGTTGCTCCGCCGCCGTCCACAGTCGCTAGCAAGGGGAAGGCACAGAATTTACCGCGGCCAGAACATCCTTCCCAGCCGGCAGTTTACAATGCTGCGAACTACGGATCTCATCTGGACTTTGTTTTTCCTGGGAACTGCAGGTACATTTTTTTAAAAAATTGTACATGGGGTTTGCTAATTGCCCGCTAGCCCTTGTCCTTCCTCCCTCTGCCCGAGGAACACGGTTCTTTTGGGAGGTTTTGTGTGTAAAGCTAAGACCTAGCATTTTCACTGAGCTGAGCAGAGAGCGCATCGCATCGTCCTTGCTGTCCAGCCAAACCCGTGCCCTCCGGGACGGCGCTGGACGCGGCTGCCTCCCTGCTCGGTGGCGGCCGCGCACGCCCTTCCCACTTGTGTGCCCGCGGAGGTGGGACAGGGGTATAGGACCGAGATGCTGCGGTGATGGAAAGCTGGGGAGCGCTGCTTTGCCTTCCCCGAAGGCGGGCGGCGGGGATGCGCGGCTCGGGTGGTGTCGCCCCCCGGCTCGTCTTCCACCAAGAAGGGCTTGTCAAGGTTCGGGAAGAGTGAACAATAAAGCTGGGGCAGCTTTCCCCCATCGTTATGTCCTGGGGTGTGATAAAGTCGGGCTCGCAGCCTTCGTGCACTCCCCCTTCTTCCCCGCCCCGAATAACGGTTTGCAAAATGGGGCAACCCTGGGCAGCACCGCAGGGCCGTGTGGTCGTTCCTGCACCCCCGTGCAAATGACGTTAGTTTTTCATTTGCCAAATTGCTGGGTAGTTGCAAAGCCTGCCCTCGGCCAGGAGCACGGAGGGATGGGAGGGTCCAGCGCCGCGTTTTGACAGGAGGAAGTGCAGAGGGGCGGAGGGCGAGGAGGGCGTGATCCGGTCTGCCTGGTGTGTGTGCGCGCGCGTGTGCGCGCGTGTGCCTTTACACGCACCGAGAGCCTAGGGTTGCACGGTGCCAGCGAAGAATGGCAGGTAGCCAGCTGCCCGAGACACCTCGCCCAGTCTCCTTTCTCTGGGCAATGTTCCTGATCCTGGCAAAGTGTGAACAATGGGGCGCTCAGGAGAAAGACCATAGCAATGTTGTCGCGGGTGGCGGGGGTTGTGCCGCCGCCCAGAGATCCTCAGCATCCCGGAAGGGGGGGCATTGCATTTTGGCTATTTCCATCTCGGCTTCCCTGGAAAATTCTTCAGTGTGCCCACCCTCCTCGCCAGCTGCTGCCCCCACACCATCCGAGGATTTGCGCTTTGGCGTCCCCGTGGACTGGGGGTGGGGGGGGGGGAGAAAAGGCCTCTGGGGCCGCGCAAAGAGCTGGGTGGGATAGGCTGACAGCTGGGGCGGGGGGCGTGTGCTGCCAAGCACCAGCTGAAAGCAGGCTAGTCGTAGGGGACCGCACATGGTTGTCGCTTCTGCCAGACGTAGCTGTCTGTACCTGTCCTGGATCGCTGGGTGGGGAGTGCGCAGGGCGGCCCCGGGAGCACCCAGCGCGCCCCCCTCTGTGGGCACCAGGAGAGCGGAGCTGGGCCACCGCCTCCAGCCAACTCCGGTCGGCGACCAATCAGAGCGAGGCTGGCTGGGCGGGAAGCCGCGAGAGGCTTTTATTGCGGCGCGGGTGGCGCCCGAGCTGCCAAGACGGTCTTGGGGTGTTCTAGCTTAACGGTCTCGCTCGCCTCCCGCTAGGAGAGACCCCGCCCTGATACTGTCCCTAGCTGCCCGGCAGTTTCTGAGGACATAAAATGGGGAAGAGATGGGCGCTGGGACATCTCTTGATCCAGCTAGCTCATGCTCGCTCACTCGTGCCTCTTTCACGCTGGCTTGTAGCATCCTGGCTCCCCCTCCTTGGTGCACAGTTGCGCTGGAGTGCTTTGCTTGCGAGCACAGAGGACAGTATCCCCCAAGATGTGGCCCGGAGCGCAGACGCGCGTGCGCTGACCCTCTGACCAAGGACTAGACGCTGGACTAGAGGGGCGTGGCGAGGCGTGGTAGGGCGTGTCTTGACAGGGCGTGCCGACTGGGTCCTCGCTACCACCAGGCCCAGGACTGGCAGGGGCGTTCCCTTCTCTGTGGTGCTGTGGGTGACCTCCTCTTAGGGTGTGTTTATTGAGACTTTCCTTCTGGATAGGAGCGTGACAATGGAGACCTGATCTTCCACGATGTGTCTTTTTAGGATCTCCTGGTGGTCTTCTCCATGATGGAGATGGGTGTAACCCTCAGTGTTTGGATCCCGCGTGGAAGCTGAGGGAGGGAATCCTACACTGGTGTGTTCCCGGATGCTCAGGCGAGCGAGGCTGGCATCCTGACTAGGGTTCCCTGGAACGAAAGCATCCTTATTCTGCCCTTAAGACCAGAGGGTGGGGATGAGAAAGAAGCACACACTAGACTATTTAACAAAAGAAAGAAGTGGGTTTACAAAGAAAATTTTCAATTAAAGTGTTGTTTTTAGCAGCCTAAAAAAAAAATCCAGAGAATTCAAGTCAAAGGGTTAAGAAGAATCTAAAAGAAGGATATATATATATATGCATACCCTCCTCCCCCTTTTTTGGCTGCTTTGCTGTAGGGTATCCACAGACAATGGTATAATGCAACTCTGTTACTGGTGCACACGAAAATGTAGATACAAGGAGAGCTAACCATAGCGCTCCTTAATGAATATCCTAGTGCATAATAAACGAATCGGGTGCTGCCCGGTCTCATTGTAGGTGCCTCTTCTGCCCCCTTAGGAATAAAAAGACAGGTTGCATAATTGCATAGTAAATTTGAATCTGTGGAAGCAGCGTTTGTTGGATGTTGGCTGGCGGAATGAGGTGCTTGGACGAGCTGGAACGGTTAAAACACGTGCTTAGCTGACAATTTTAGTCCTTTGCTAGTCTAACCTATAAGAGCCAAGGAATAGGTAGGAATGGTTTTTCTAACAGCGTAACGCCAGGCTTATAAGAAAGAAGAAATTTAGTACAAAAGGTAACATACACATAACATATACCTAATATCTCTTACTAAACAATTGAAGATGCATTTCATCAAAGTCTGTTGTGAGAGCAATTACACAGACCTCTATTTTTTTACATTGATTTTCATTTACAATGGGAAATGTGAAGTTTGAACAAAATTTAAAGGAGCACAATAAAGCCATACTTAATATGGAAAACCTTTTACCACTCCCAACTCTTTCCAAAAACATGTTGCTGTCAATAAACTTTAGCATTGAAATGAGTTTAGAATTCATTTAAAATGTAACAGGACTAAAGACAAGTGGAGATTATAACCCAGAATTGTGGAACTATGGCCCTGCATTTATTGAAGTTTTTCTATATATGATGTTGTTGTTTCTGTTCAGCTTTTGGGGGGACAGGATCTCTGTATAGCCCTGGCTGGCTTGGAACTCACCATCTAGACCAGGTTGGCCTTGAACCTTTGCAGAATTCTCTTGCTTCATCTTCCCAAGTGATATTATAGCCATGAGCCACCATACCAGCTTATTTAAGGGTTTTGCTCCTGCCACTAATAAAGTCCTGAAGATTGACCTGCCCTGCTAGGTTTTTGTTTATCCCATGCTGGCCATGTTACTACATTTCTCCCTCCACCAAGGGATTGAACTTGATGCCTTCTTTCTAGGTACCTTTGCTCCGGGTCTCTTTCTTTTTAACAATATTGTGATAATAGCAGAAAGCTGTACCTCAGGTCTTTGTATAGAAAATATTTTTTCCCAGGTCTTTCCATTGTCGTTTGGTTAAACTAAGAATTTGCTCATTTAATGGGTGAGTACTTCCCTGAGCTTAGTCTAAAATTAAGATAGGTAGGACCTTAACCAGCAAGATGGCCTAGTTGGTACTGGTGCTTGCCACTAGGTCTGATGACCTTAGATGGATCCCCAGAACACACATGATAGAAGAGAGGGCTGACTCTTCCAAGTTTCCCTCTGACCTCCACACACATGACAAAAATAAATACAAGTAAGAAAAAAACTCAGGGCAAATGCCAAACAAAACAAAACAAAACAAAAAACCTCAACAATATTAGAAAAATGAAGGCATTGGTGTGTTATTTGTAGCAGATATGGTTATTGACTCCAGTCAGGAAGTAATCCAAGAGAGAAATTAGTTACATGGAGCCCCAGCTTCTAAGAGCCTTTGAAGTGCTTCCCTTTGGAGTATACTTATCATTAATTGAATTCTTCTGATAGGTAATCTATAACTCAATGTAAATAATCTCTAAATTTTCCTGTCACTGAGAACAATGTCTTAATTGCCTTTCAAAATAAATAGCACCATTTTGTCAGTCAGAATCTAATCTTTACTACGACAGATGTTTTTCTTCTTGCCAGAACTCAGTTTCTTAAAATATAGACAGCATTTGTAAACTTCACACTGCTTAAGATATGGACTTTGGAATTTCTGGTGCAACTACTTTATTTATTTATTTATTTATTTTTAAATGATGAAGGCTGTGTTTCGTATTAGTTTGATGAATTCCCCCTATTAACATCATCGGTGTTAAAGAACTATGGCCGCTCTCCAGACTGCAAGTGGCTTCACTGATGCTGGCAGACCTCCAAAGGTATTTTACAGTCTTTCTCAACTTTGTGGGAAATGAGTGATTGAGTACCTGTTGCTGAAGGACATTTGAACTGTCTCTGACAATCTTGGGTCTGTGATGACAGAGACCAGAACCAATTGGCAAGGAGGGAGGCAGGGGCTGCACCTGTCTCCATCTATCTGCCCAAACAGTTGGAGCCTGGGAGGAGACAAAGGCACTTGGAAAAGACTCTCCTGTGCTGTTGAAGTGTAGAGCTGGAGAACATATAAATGCTTTATGGTGTCAAGATAAATATTTGAATGCAAACTCCATAATGGATAATTCTTCAGTTTGGTGATCTAACAAAACTATAGACTAAGGAATGTCTGGAGTTTTAAAAGAAATGGCAGCAAGTTATGAACAGCATTTTTGCTAATCTTAAAACCCCATTATGAGTTAAATAAAATTCAAAGCATGAATCATCAATAATGCTCATTTCAGCTGTGAGTCAAAAGACCAAGGCTCAGATACCTTTTGCTAGAAAGGAAAAATTCTGAGTAAAATTAAATAGAGAACTGTGCATGCTTTTTAAAATACTCCCCAAGTCTCAGCAATATTGTAAAAG